AGGACAATTTATATTTAAAACTATCACATGAAACCATGGCCCCAAAATATAGGAAAAGTAAACAAAAAATATCCTTAACATCAGAATAAAAGTTTGCCTGAGCCTTGTGTGACCAATGCACAATTGATCTAAGATTACCTCTTCCATATAGGATCTTTCAATACTTAGTTGCTATTCTTCCAGAATGGTTTTTATCAAATTTATTTTGTTGTTTTTTCACTCCAATGTTGTTGCCATATATAAATTTATTGATTTGTGATATAAGATCCATACGATTTTCATATGCATCGAGGTCTAAATTTAATGCAGGTTTAGTAGCTGTATTACTTTACTATTAATTTCCACAGGACTTGGAATCTAACAAAATAGAATCTTTTCTGAATCACAAATAAAAACAATCATTCAAAAGTTCGTTTATTAGAGGGTTTTCTTGAATGATAGAATTGAAAATGAATGAGAAGATAATGAATTTTTTGTGTCTCTCAGAAAAGATGCCAAGTCTATTGCTCTAGTTTCAGCACAAATAATCAATGCTTTATTCATGAGAGAATTTTAAGTACTATAATATTAAAGACAGCTGCATGTGAGTCACTGTCCTTGGATTGATTTGTGAAGAACAGAAATTGTCAAGATAACATTGATATTTTGAAAATCCTCTTAGAAACTAACAATGTTAGTGATTGTTTTTGAATCTTCATTTCGATTTAAGATTACCTCAAGTTGTTGCCCATGGAAGATTCTCTAATAAAGGTTTATAAACAAACCAAATAAACTATTGCATCTCTTTTGTTATGAAAGCCACATTGGAAATGGGTTATTAAATAATTACATTCTAAAAAAAAAATTAATTCATTTATCTTGTATTCTAAAGTTTTGTAGAGACAATTCATCAATGTAGCAACATGTATCCATATATTTGGAAAATTGCTACTTATCTATATATTACTAAAAACAATTATAATTTAAGGATAACTTAAAAACTAACTTCTTTAAAATTGCACAATATATTTAATCTGGATCAACAGTTGTTATTGGTCCGCAAAGTCTTATATGTCTGGTGAAGGCCCAAACACTGAATCATTTCAAACCTCATCAGGAGTAAGACATGAAGGAAATGAGAGACCCAAGCTATTTAATCACTTCCTCTACTATGCAGAAATCATCACTGATTATTTAAACATTACATACCAAATCCCAAACAAATAGAAAACAGCACTCTGGTTTTCCCTCCAGAGGCCAGTAGGCACTTATATAGGTGGCTTTAGTAATGACATGGATATTCATAGTTGGGATAAGAAAGATCTTGAAAATTAAACAAAAACAAAACAAGTGTTCCAGGAAAACTTTTCCAAAACAGAAATTGGAATTGGAGTAAAAACAATGAGGGTATATAACCTGAATTCAGAATATGGAATATACTAAACATAAGAAAATTGAATATAGAATAAACTGCATTAGGAGGAGTAGTGTTCAACGTTGCAAGGTGCTCCAAAACTAAAACATTAACCTAAAAACTTGAGTCATGTTCTTAAATAGACTTATCAGATTGAGACTTTTATGTGGATGTCCTGCATGGCATCCAAATCCTTCTGAAATATCAAACGATCAGCTATATACTAGTGTTTTCTCAGATTAATGATTAAAAATGAATTCAGGCAAATGAATTCTGTGGGTCTTGAAGAGGACTGTCCTTTACCAGATATCGTAGACTGGTGCTACGGAATCACAAAGAACTTTACCAAATAGCAGGAGCCACATCACTTGAAGACTTTCAACAGCAGTAACAACTAAAATTGATAGCACATGTAACTTGAAGAGAAAATAATGACAATCAAGATATTGACTTTCCATATTATCTCAGGCAAAAGTTTATGAAGAAAAATCCTGTCAATATTGGAAAGTGTGATAACAGCTTGAAAAATCTATTTTCTTGAAAAAACATATTAGGAGAAAGATTTCATAAATTTCAACCAATAGTAATCCGGTTTGGTCAATGAATGCCAAATGTTTCTTTGTGGCATATATGTGTTCACATATCTGAATGTTGCTAGTGTGGATAAGTTTTAGAATAATTATTTTACCAGAAACTTTGAAAATAAAACAAACTGACTCAATGGTTAAAATAAATAATATATTTTTATTTATTTTCTTTAGAGTGAAGAGTGAGTCCTTTCAGATTCAGTGTAGCAAAAAGTTTGTTAATCATGCAGATATTGGTAGCAGTCTGGAGAAATGTCCATTTGTGGTTGTTTGAAGTCAGACCAAGATAGGGGTAATAGTAATGTAAGAAATTAGGCCAGTGTCAATTTACTTTGTTCTTTTCAGCTCTGAAACAGGGTGGAAGTATCAGTAGCAGATGATCTCTTGACTGCTTCTTCACACATCATGGATGGCTGTGTTCTTTTGCTCCATCCTCTCCTGGTATCATTCTGGTCCTCTTTGCTGGTAGCCTTGAGGTATCAGGTTTTATATCTGTTTTAAATGGGCCCAGTGTTTGTGACGAGAACTTTGGTTTCAGCTAATCATCTCTGTATCATTTTTTGATTGACCAAATTATTTTATTTTCCAGCATTCCTTTCTTTTTCATTTTTTTTTTTCATAATGGAAGTTATATGTGGAACCTCCCTGATTTTTGATATTTTTTAATGCAAGGGGTTACGGGGAGTGAAAGAGAATGAGAAGACTTTAGAAGGAACCAGAAAATGAATCCTAAACAGGAAACAAAGGATAAACCTCTAATCCTGTTCAAAAGACAGGGAAAGAGTGTGAACTGGGTCATAGGGGGTACTACATCAGCATTTAAAAAAAACAAATAAAATTTCTATTTATTGACCACTGGCAGCCAGCTAGAACTTCACTCAAATCTTCCCCTACTAAACTCAGTCATTCATTGTTTATCATAGACATAATGTCTAAATCATCATCTTACACAAGAAAAGAAAAACTGAAGGCCATCTAATATGCAGAATAAAATAGGAACCAGCTAGCAGGCCATCACTTTGGCTGATCCAGGTACAATATTTGACCCTGGTACAAAAATAAGTTCAAACTTCAATCTTAGCTGAAGTTGAACAAGGCAGACAGAAGGGAATCTGCAGCATTCTGAGTAAATGCAGAATGGGCAACATTGCAATTAGCAGAATTGACATGCATCTCAAAGCATTGGAAATCACAAAGAAGATGGGAACAATACCTGACAACTTTATGGCCAGTGTTGGGTGGTATCATTGCTTTATGTAGAGAAACATAATTTATTTAAAGGGTCATTTATTTAAAGGTTAAAGTAACAAATGATAATAGTTCTATATAGAGTTACCTTGATACTAACTGCTTGAAAATTTGTATCAAGTATAATATTGCTCTGATACATCTCCAGAAACCCTGTCTTTGCTATTGCATATGTTTCTGTATTGTTTAAAATTTCTCATTTTAATACTGTTGTTTTTGTTTTAGAAAAGTTTCTTGCTAGCAAGATATAACTGGTTAATAACAAACATGATCCTTTTATGTTTGGTGGTTTTATGCTTGACCACAAAAATTCTACTTGATAATTTTGTGAGCTATGAATAAATATAATTGCTATGAGTTTTGATTGGATGGTTGGTGTTTTGGAGGTGGAGGATTATCCTGTTTCCATCTCTTTTTAACTTATTCAAAATTATTTTTGCTTCCAAAGACTCTTGAAAATTTCCAAATTCTTTCGGTTGGATTTTAATAAGAGACTGCTAATTTGAGAAGTTGTCTGATTATGCTAACTTTCAAATGATATACAATATAAAAACCTATCAAATTTTGTATGTTATAATTGTCTAATTGAAACTGTCACTTATACAATGTTTAAACAGTTAATACTGAAGATGAGACTGGGAAGCAGTAAACGTATGTTAATACAGCATAAGTATTGGAAGAAAATAGTGACACTAAGCTCAGGATTGGAAGAAAATAGTGACACCAAGCTCAGGATTGGAAAGGCCAAGGAATTACAGTTGACCTTAAAAAAAATTAAAAAAAAACAAAAAAAAAAAAACAGAGAAAGCAATCAACAAGCCTTGGTAAAAATTTCACAAACTAATCAATTTTGTATTTTTAAAAAGTCCAGGTGGATTACCTTTCAGGTCCAGAAGCTGTATTATTTTCAGATGGAAGTTGTAGTCGTGCATATGTACCTCCTGGCTGAGCCACTAATAACTCTGGCTGATTCTCAGCAGACATGTTCACTGTGATGGAACCAATCTACCAAAATAATCAAGTTTTAGACATTTTTTATCTGACTTCATATTCTGAACATACAATTGGTAAAATTTTCAAAAACACTTTATGAAATTATAGAAAAAGTTAAAACATATGCACTCAAAATTTCACAGAATGAATTTGAAAATCTAAAGAAAGCTATTTGCTATCACCTAGCTTGGATAATGCTAAAAATCCTTTTCTCTTGAGTAAGAATAGACTTATTTTAAAATACAATACTAATCATCTAAATCTTCATTGTAGCAAACTAAAATATTTTCTGCTATTTTCAAAACATTTTATCCTTATCAATAATAATAATAATAATAATAATAATATTAAATTCATAGTAATATTTAAACAATTTTTCTCAACAAAATTTATACAAAACTGCAAATTAGACAGGATATACAGATCTGCTTGATGATGATTTATAAACAAAAAGAAAAATATTTCTACATACTTTATATACTTATATATAATGAAAGTTTTTATGATTTTTTTTTTTTTTACACAAAAAATAGGGGTCACAATAAACAGGTAATTATTTTGATGAGGTTAAAAATCATGCATTTTTGGTGACCAGTTGCACTATACACACTAATTTTTTGCTGGAAATGTTAAAATTCATACCAAAAATTTCTGGGGTTGCACTATACATGAGCATATATGGTATATGAAAATGTTCATTATCCCCAAAATATAATTAAATAATTTAGGAATACTTCTCGAAAGTTGTCAACTATATGTATATCATTTATCTGTCAAGTGATACTTACCTGTCCATTTAACTGCCATTTTTCTATTTGAGTCAAGTGACCAGGGGATTCCTCAGACAACTCAGAAATATCTTCCCACCGGAAAAGTCGGACAGTGCGATCTGAATAACCCACTACTACTTCAATGCGACCATCACCATCTACAATTAAAAAACATACTGTCTTTACCTAGTGTTTTATATAATGCTTCCAAGTAATGAAAATTTAAATATCAGCTCAAAGTTTCAGTCAAAAAATTTCAAGAAGACCTTTATTTTAGCAACTGTTAGCCTAATACTTGTATTGGTCAGGAGAAAATTATTTCCAAGATGACACCTGAAATTAACTTTCATTTAAGTTTATATGATCGATGGCAATCTTTCAATCTCATAAGATTCATTTGAAAATCCTCACATCTCTAGGGAGATACAAAATCTGCAGTCTAAGCAAATGTTTTTCTTTAATGCATGTTTAGTATTTGTAGATGTATAAATGAATCAATAATATTTTGTTTAATTGTTAATATGTAAACAAACCTCACGAATCATAAATTGATCAAATGACTAATCTGACTTGATTCTGAAACTATAGTTTTTGAAGTAGAGGGCTTAGTAATTAGTAGTGTCTTAAAAAGAAATCACATATCAGTTCAAGAAGAGTAGAAATAATTAACAAAATTTCTAACCATAATCAGAGTTGATGGGTTTAAGGTATTTTACTGGTGGTTGATTTTAATTTGTAAAGCAAAAGCATTAACTAAGCAGATGATTTTGAAAGGACAAAAGTGGGAAACATTAGAAACAGAAATGTATTTTAAATAGACTGCTGTAGTTAAGGTGCAGCATTTATTTTGTTTGCTTAATGCTGTAATCTCTTTGGCACAATAAGTTGAGTAAAACTAAAATAGATATTTAAAACAACTTATTGTCAAATACTTTAGCTACTTTTATACTTGTGGCTAAAGCTCAGGTGTTATAAGATTAATAACAACACAATTCTTCCAAATATAAAATTTGTTCATTTTTGCTTTTTCACTATAAGTTCTTTAAAAAAAATATTTGATTACAAACAAGGTTATAAAAATACTTTTTATACTAATCAGTTCAGTGCCCATAATATCTGCAAATACAATTATTGGGAACAGGACTAATTGATGAAAATTCTTTTTTACTCTGATGTATAAATAAGTAATTATTTGATTTGATAACACTTTTAAGACTTATATTCATAAATACAAAACAGTGAAAAAGAATGGAATATTTTGATAGTGAATGACAGTTTCCTTAAATATTAAAGTCTTGTATACGAATAAAGTATCATTGCTAACACCATAGTTTGAACATAGATCACCAGTGAGCAAACATGGATGATTCCATTATTAAATAAGTAGATCACATGATCATAAAGGAAACATATAAATGGGAATTAGCATGACATCTAAGTGATCGCTATTCTCTATACTGACCACTACAATATTTCTCTATACTGATCATTATACAAATTACTATTCAGCAATTACTATTTGAACAAGTATTATTAGTGTGAGTATTATTGGAACATGTTACTACTACCAGTATCTACATTTACAAAATTTAATCTACAACAAGCATTCTGGAAGTGATAACAAACATTCATTGACCTAACAAAAGTTACGAGTGAGTATCTAACATCACAAAAGTAGCAATGAGGATTTGTTCAACTTACACAACGACTCATTCAACTTACATGGACAAAAAAAATTAATCTACAAAATGTTCAGCAGAGTTCAGTAGAATAGAAGAATTAAAAGCCATCATGATTCAAATGTTGCAGCAGCAAAATCTACAACAACAAGAGTTGCAGCAACAAAAACAACATGAATAGCAAAGGCAATTGCAGCAACAAAAGTTTTTCAAGTTGTTCACTAAAAGAATGAAAACAAAAACTTCAGACTTCTGATGCAGTTGCTAATTCAATCACCAAGTTTGTGTACAATCCAGATGAAGGAATAACTTTCCCATCTTAGTATAGAAGATACAAAGGGATCTTCAAAAGGGATTGTTCACATTGGAATGATGAAAAGAAAGTTTAGTTATTATTAAGGAAATTATCCCCTGCTGAACATAAAAAATATGTAAACTATATTTTGCCAAAGAAACCAGGAGAAATAACTTTTGATGAGACGATTCTAACACTATTGAAAATTTTTGGTGATAGGAGTTCATTGTTTAATACACATTACTAAATTAAGAAATTGCCAAAGTCCAATGAAGAAAATTTTATCATGTACGCAAGAGTCATTAATTAAGAATGCGAAAAGTTCAAATTAAATGAACTCCTGTTTTGTTTAAATAACTGATATTCGTTCAGTGTTTAACACCTAATAAGGACCCATGGATAAGATCCAGGATACTTTCTAAATTAGAAATGGATCCAAAATTAACTCTCCAGAGAATAGCAGAAGAGTGTCAATGTATTGTGAATTTGAAACTCAATACCACAAAGATTGAGGAAAAAGACAATTCACAGGTACATTGTGTCTGATCAACTAATATACAAATCATTAGCAATTGAACATATCACAACTCCCCCTTATCACCCTAGATCAAACAGACAAGCAGAATGGTTTATTGACACATTTAAAAGGGCACTGAGAAAATCGGAGGGAAATGAGTCAAATGAAGTAATGATTCAAGAATTCCTGAATTACGCCAAACCCTAACACAGTGTCTGGAATGTCACCTGCAGAATTGATGCTCACCAGGAAGATCAAGTCCGACTTCAATAAATTGTTACCTGAACGCAAGGTGAGAAGATCTAAGAATAACTATACAAATACATATTTCAAACCTGGAGACAAAGTACTTTTCAGAATATATCAGCGTGGAAAGGAATTCTGGCAAGATGGCATCATTAAAAAACATATCAGTAGAATGATGTACATGGTAGTGAGACAAAGGTGAGAAAATAAGAGACACCGGAATCAGTTGAAACGAAGGTTCACCAAGTTAAAAATCCTCAAACAGAAGTACCAATGGAAATTCTGTACAACACATTTAATGTACCTGTGCCATCAGAAATAGTTCAACCAAGGATTTATGGCAAAAGGAAAAGAATGCCAACAGAGTTTCTAATGATTGAACCAAAGCTGAAAAAATATAGACTCCAGGGGAAGTCATCTCAAAGGGGAGGTGTTGTACAGGAATAAAGTGTTGTTGCCAACATTGTAGTTTGAACACAGATCACCAGTGAGCAAACATAAATGATTCCATTATTAAATAAGTAGATCATGTGATCGTAAAGGAAACGTATAAATGAGAATTAGTGTGACGTCTAAGTGATTGCTATTCTCTATACTATCTGCTATGCTATTTCTCTGTACTGATCATTATACAAACTACCATTTGGCAATTACTATTTGAACTAGTATTATTAGTGTGAGTATTATTGGAAGACGTTACTACTACCAGTATCTACATTTACAAAGTTGTGTCTACAACAAACATTTCAGAAGTGATAATGAGCATTCGTTGACCTAACAAAAGTTACGAGTGAGCGTCTAACATCACAAAATAAAATCAGAAATAAAAACAAATGAAATTTAAATAAATTTATGAATAAATTTAGACCCCACCCCCCCCAAAAAAAACCTTGAAGAAATACTCACCTACATCAGCTAGGAGCATCAGTTTGCTGTTAGCTGGCAGATACTCTGTAAAAGTTGGTCGCAAGGAAGTATGGCTGTCATCTTCATTCTCAGAAACAGGTGGCTGGAAAAAAAAATAGAAATTAACAAATACAGGTGTTATGTAATTAAAAAAAATGTTAATTTTATCAAAACAGGGTTTTCAGTGTTTATTTTGAAGTGATAGTCTTGTAAACTTATATACAGTATGTTAAAGTTTTATAAAAATAATTTTTTTTTTTTTTAGAATAATGTTCACCCTGTACAAGGCCCAAGAGTCACTCAATATAAAGGGTTACGGAGTAAGAAACACAGTTTATGAGAATATGTGGGGAAGATAATGGTTGATCCTAGACTTGAACAGGTCAAGATTGTAGTGATCGGGAAGCATCCTCTCAGGAGTTGGTCCACAAAGCAAATGTTTGCATATATAAAATATACAAATAAATAATATAAGTGGACATTGATGTCAACACCCAGTGGCAGCAGTCTGTTTCATGCAATCATCAAACCTGAAGATTGTGTATAAGCATGAAAAAGACTGTCACTGCTGAGTATTGACATCAATGTCCACATAAGTTTATATATGCTCTATCCCTGATATTAAGCACTTTAATCCATAAATATGTCATACCTAAAACTAATATATATATATATATATATATATATATATATATATATATATATATATATATATATATATATATATATATATAAAAGGCAACATCTTTGCATAGTTTGGGTACCCACAATCTTAAAGTTACTTTTAGCTTGATTTTACAAACTTCAAATCTCTATTGTTAAATAAATTTTGTGCTTCCTCAGATGTTTATTCAGTTGGTCTTTTGGAACAAGTGTAAACGTTATTTTCAAAAGACCAACTGTTTCTCTATAAAAATTATTGGTGTGATCAGTAAAGAAGAATATGGGTACACTGAATTTGAAATATTTCTTGAAAAGTTAATTACTCTATATCATTTTAACCATTGTCTTTAGGGTTAAAGTTAGGAGTTAATGACATTGATATAGCTTAGGTAATCTAAAATTAAGTTAGAAACCTATCTTATTTTAAAATATTATTCCATGTTATGCTAATAGATATTAAATTTGCATTTTTACACATACCTAGAATATTTAATGCATTATATATATATATATATATATATATATATATATATATATATATATATATATATATATTTCATAATCAAAATAATACACACCTATATCTCTACTAGATATTATAATACTGTTTACATACTGAGCATTTTTTTTTTTTAATTCTTGACTCAAATCATTTCACGAATTTTGACCAAACATCAATTTTTTAAAAATCTCTTAGCTGGGCCAATAACTTTTACGTACTGCTTAAACTCAGTTGTTGACCAAAGAATATCTAAGGAAACAGTTTTCATCTAGTTTTGGCCTAATTTTAATAAACTAGATTTACTTTTTACAAATTTAAAGGAAATTAAAGATACTTTAGCAAAAATGATAAAGCTTAACTTTTGTCTGGTAAATGTTTTTAAAATTTCATATCAAATTAACTGACAATTTTCCTTGTCAGTAAATAAGTTTGGGATGATATAAAACTGACAGCAAAACAAAAAATTAGATATGATTTCCTTCATATCATAAATAGACAAAACTATTCTCTTTGTTAATGCAAATCAGTAATTTTTATGCTTGTTTCAGCAAGATGGGCAACAGGCCATGTTTACAAGTGCAGTAAATGGCAGAGAGTATATGGGAAAATAGAATTTTATAACTAAAAACTTTCTCTTTTCATTGGTGTTATAGTGCTCTCTGTATATGTTGTTTCCATAAAAATAAAAAAGGAGGCATTACCTTTGGTACATTCATTGTACTAAAAGTATTACAGATTTTGTAAGTAGATTATTAAATAGTAAGAGTAGTAAGAGAAAGCAATCTTATATTGAAATCCGTTTTCAAAGTAAGTATATGGTTTTAAGACAAATCTAATTTGATAAAGGACATAAAATATTTTGGCAAGCAAATGTGTGACTCAGCCAAATCTTCTAATACTAATGAACTAAAATCTTTTAACTTATTTACTGACTAGTTTCAAATAACATTTGAGACTAATATGAATCTTTACTGTCAAGTTTATTTTATACTGTAAATACATACCTCATTTGATTCTGTTTTCACATCAAAGATATAACACCAACCTTTGGCAGTCAAACACACCAAAAAATTCTGAAATGAAGATGGATTCAATTCATGAACAGGAAAAAAAATGAAATCTAGAAATAAGATTTGCTATAAATCAAATGTTGTAAAAAAAAGTTGCACTTGTGAATGATGCAGAGAACAACAGCCACTAATTTTTCTCAATAAAAGATGTGCATGTATTTATTGTAATTATATAAACTTTAAGCAGATTCACTGTGCTCTTTCTATAAATATTTTGATGGTAATTGTTTTGATGAGCTTTCCTCTTTGGAATGAATATGTTGTTTTGGTGTAAGGAATATTGTTTCGTATGATTGGGTCAGTGCTTGCGGCTAGCTAAGTTATAATTAAGACAGAAGAAGACCGTCCTTTCCCCAATCCCCTTTTCAGCCTTGTGCCACATTTCTGTATTATACAGAATAAATATCGCTTTCCTCTTTGGTACCTAGACTTTATGAATTTAAGTACAGTTCTAGATTAATAGCAAGGTCTCATTTTACAGTTGAAATGGCTAGATGTAAGTTCTATGCTAATAGTTTCTTCTATCGCACTTCTCACTTGTGGAACTCTCTTCTAGCTTCTTGCATTCCAGTCAACTTTGAGCTTCAAAAATATAAATGCAATGTCCATTGTTATCTTCTGTCTTGATGCCTGCTTTTTTTTTTTTTTTTACTGTTCTCTCTCCTTAATAAGGTTTTCTTTTTCTCATTCTCAGTAATTCCTTGCATCTTAGTAGCCTTATTTCCTTCCTTGGAGTGAAATGAATAAAAAAAAGTTACATACTGCTATTGAGGTTATAGAAAAGTTAACAGTATATAAAACACTTAAATCAATATAATTTTTCTTTAGGATCACTCCAGAAACTTTCAAAAAAACATTTCATGTGAAATTTAAGGAAATTTAACAAACAAATAACAACACACTGAAAGAACTAAGCTACAAGCTTAACCCCTCCAAAAATTTTTACTGTAAGATAACAAGCTTACAAGTGAATTATCACAGAGTTATTGTATTATATAAAATTTTAAAATTATCAATGTGTGTTTATTTATATTTCAGGTCTCATCTGTTGTGTGAAGGGAGATAAATTAATTTAAGTTAGTAAATTTATGAGTAATTACTTCTCTTATTTTAATAATCTATACAAATGAAATATTTCTTATCATTTAGACAAAATTATTTCACAAGCAAAATGATCTACTTAATTAATCAGTTCTCTTACTCATATGTTTCTTAGATTGCAGTCTTATTTGTTCAAGCTTTTCATGTGGGGCACTCAGATACTTTTGTCTATTAAATGATCATCTTGCTTCAACTTATCTAGAAATAGGCTTTGTCATTACCATTTTGTCCTTCTGTTGCTAATATTTTTCTTCTGAGAAATATTTCCATTTCACTGTTACATTAAACACATAAAATTTTTAACATGAAAACATATTGAGCAAAAATTGATTTATATATCAGGAGTAATCAATCAACCATAGATACCACTGAACATCTAAAAGATATAAAGGGAACAGGTTAATTGAATAGTTTATTGGTCTCTATTTTAGTTGTGAATTCTTTATCTCTGCTTTATTGAATCTCAATACATTGTTTCAAGACTTTTGCTTCATTGCATCTAATTATTAAAACTTTCTAACAATTGCTGTCATTTTTTACATCATGGATACACTAAGGTATGTATATATATATATATATATATATATATATATATATATATATGTTTTTTCCAGGACTTATTTGAACTAATATTTTTATCTTTGTTCTCGAGTGATACTTAAGGACTACCAGACTGTAATATACATCTGAAGCTAGCTAAAGTAAAACAAGAATGTGCAAAATGGAATAAGGAATGACTGTGAATGCAAAAAAGAAAGCATGGTGCTTAAAATAAAAAACAAATTAATGCAATGAAATAAACATTTACCTTTCCACTATTACAGATATCACCAACTTTCACACAAGTGATCTGTAGAGAGAAATCAAAATTATATTTTACAAAAATTCATAGATTTATAGAAGCAAATTTTTGAAAAGCTTTCCTACTTTGACATTTTCAGGATACAATTATTTTGTGAAATGTTTTTTTATTGATAGACGGAAATAAAATTTTAATTGTTATCTTTCACAGAAAAATAATTTTAATTTCAAACTCAAAATGAATGGTAAATTATCAAAAAGTATATTTACCTTGATTAACAGACCTATATAAAGACATTCAGTCAATTAGCAAACTTTTTGAAAAGGCAACCAAATTCATTTGCCTGGCAGTAACATTAATCATAATCCTGAGAGTTGGATTTTAATAAAAATTATAGTTTTGAAACCAATTCTACACTTATTTGATAAATCTTTCAATTGTGTAAGTATATGGATATTAATATTTAAAAATAAAGTTAGCATTAAATATTACAACTAAATTACCAATTCAGTGTTCTGCTTGTCTTAAATCTCAGCCAATATTTGGCAGTTTTATACTGTAATGGAAAACCAAAATGGTCTGATGTGATCACGAGGTACTGCTCAGGCATCTTGAGTTGATGATTTTGGGAGCAAAAATAGCTTGATTCCATCTAATAAAGACTGTTAGGAGCATTGCTATTACATAAATTTCTTTGTAAAATGGAAAATACATAGTTATTAAACAACCCCACCGAAAAAAAAAAAAAAACTCATTCTACTAGTTACAAATACTTTGTTTATATCATTGAACATTTGGTTCACGCACACATATATTAAAATAAAGAGAAAGAACAGTAAAATTTATAATCCGGTGTTCTTATTAATTATTTTTAAAAAACAGTGCTCAATACAATTCTGCAGAGCATAAATATTATAAATTTACTTATTTAAAAATATGTTTCCATCTCGACACAGAAATTACCATGTTTCAAAAACAGAAACTAAAAACTTCAAATTTAATTATAGAATTAAGTTAAAATTCCTAGTACCATTTCATTTTCAAGTGAATTTTGGAATAACTTATTTTGAAATTTACTGAGTTTTATAAGCACATACATTCTTAATATTAGTTTCTAAGGATACAGGGAAATTCAATCATTTTGCCAAGGGGTGGTAGGGTATTCATTTTCACTGACAACTATTTTATCAAAATATGAGTTACTTTCGAAATGAGGTTAAGTTAGGGTAGAGGTGCCTGTTCAACAAATAATTTTCACATGTCATCTGGTTTTTTCAATACTTTTATTTTGCCATTAAATTTGTAATTGTATACATAAAGATTTTTTTTCAAAAGGGTTGTTTGATTATGAGTACGTCATATTAAAATACAATTTTAAAATATTACTTCTAATTCTAAATACTAATAGACTATACTTCTTTTAAAACAAAGAAATGTATTAGAATTACTTTATTATTTAAAAATTATTATTAAAATATCAAATATAAATATGTATCATTTTCCAGGTTTTTTTTAACATTATTTAAGGAAAATCTTTGACAATGTCAGCAAAGAATAGCTATTTCATTTCTTTGATTAAGTAAATTTTTATTTTTTGTAAACATAATAATGTATAATTTCTCGTGTATGCACAAAGAACATGGGTCATTTAATGACCTATATGTTCTGGTTTTTCTTATTAATTTCCATTTCACAGTAGGTGTTTTATTGGTTTCTTTTAAGTGCCAGAAATATTTAGATGGGGACATCTGATTTTGGTATTTATTTATTCTAAAAGAACTTTGATGTTGGTTGAAATAGTTTTTGAATTCATGTCTTGTGCATCCAATTTAGACTTTTACTTTGTCTGGATTCTCAATAGATGAGATATTGTATTGGTATACTAATGATTCAGTGTGACATTTATCATTAAGGACAGTTATGAGGATTTCTGCAGTTACATAATTTTTGATATCTTCATCTCATTTTATTATACTGTCTAAATTTCTTTGATTTTGGTTTAAGTGTTTACTCAAGATATTAGCATTATGTTTCTTAATAATCATTTCTAAGTTTTCAGTACAACCGTAACTTAATTTTAGGGTATTTTTATTAATAATTGTACCGAGTTTACTGTCTTTAGGAAAATGTTTAACAATTAATGCAAGGATTTTTTGTCCTAATTTGTTTTTTACCATTTGGTTGTATAGGGGTGTATACCAAATGATTTTTCTACTTCAGTTTTTTCTATGGTTTCCACTTTCATTTTTTATATAATTTAGTTTTGGGCTTTTGTAGCCACTATCCTTTAGAGCTTTATTATAGAAATTACTATGTTCATAGAAAATTTTCTCATTTGCTGAATTTGTACTTATTCTCTTTTCAATAGATAAAGGTATATACTTAATTATAGATGGAGGATGATTAGATTTAGGGTGTATATATAAAGGATTGTATTGGGTTTTTATAAGGTATATATACATTATTCATTAAATTTAATGTTATATCAAGGAAGTTCACCTTTTTCAATTTAGTACTTACAGTAATTTTTAAGTTCAGAACTGGCGGAACCAAGGAATATAGTTCATCCAAGCACTTTCCATAAAAGTAGCAATAGAGCAGAGAAAAGCTTGCCACATTCCCCCCTGAGAGAGGGGGCTGGGGGTGATAATTCTTCAAAAAAACACTTTTGAACTATATGAAAACTAGAAAGTGAGGATTGGGCAGCTCCCACCTAAATATGACAGCAGTACTCCATTTTCAGCCTGATCTGGTTTTTATAAAGGTATAGAATAGCATGAGGAGTCAGGTACTTACTGGGGTGGTACAGGTAACCAATCATTTGACATGTATCTTTAGCAATATAGTTCTTTTGTCTTCTATTATAACAGAATTACTTAGAAGAGATTTTTTTTATGAATACATTGTTATATTTTTTTAAAACCCTTTAAGTATTTCAAACAGGCAATAAGCCTTTATTATTATCCATTTCTCATATTGCATCAGGAATTCATTCATATTACTTTTATCATTTTCAAGAGATTAATATTATTTAAAGTTTTCAGATTATTAACATGATAAATATATGCATTTACAAAAAATAAAAATCATGAATTAATACAATAACTGGAAAGAATTGTAAATAAAATATTTACCATTCCCAGATCAGAACATTTTTTCCAGGGACTAAACTCTTTTCCTTTAAATACAGATAAGGTACCTTCTATATTTCCAACTGCCAATTCATTGCCCTGCAAAAAAAAAAGAAGAAAAAACATTGTAAAAATATATTAAAGATACTTGTGATATAATTATGGCCGACTAAAGTGAAGCTTTCAATTTTTGCTGGAAACATAATTTGTTTTAATTTCTGCTATTTGTGTTCATATTTCTTTAAATAAATTTCAAGAGTTACAAAATGCTGAAATGGTATTATTAAGGTACTTAATTTTTAACAGCAGATAACTGATTTGAGTTACAATTAAGTAATTTTTACTCATTTATATTAGGTCAAAACTGGTACCATTTAATTAAAATTAAAATGAATAATCTAAATGCATTGAATCAGTGGACTCACCATGACCATGTGTCCCATAACCTATTAAGGTTATAGGGGCACCATACATACTGCAGTTGTAGCAGCAGTAATTGTGTCCAGGGCAAAACATCCTAACAGAGACCATCTCTTTTCAAACTGATTTTGAATACAGAGTTAACCTTCTCCTAGAGTGGATGCTACTCAGTGTAGGAGAACACAGTCTGTCCTGTTATTTAACCCATAGCTAAAGAAAGATGGAATCCTACCATTTACAAGAGCATCAGGAAGAAATGACTAGAATTAGGTTAGAGTGAATTCAGTAAAACAAAAACAAAAGTACTGGCTAAAGAAATGTCTTAGAATAATTTATAAGTTGAATCATGAGAGTTTTTAGGTTTCATACAAAGCAGTTGAAACTTCTTATAATTTTTGATTTTTCTATTATTAATTGAATTTCTGAAAAATGAGATGGGAGTAGGACTTATATTAGAAGAAATGTATTCTGGGATACAGTCAATTATCTGATAGAATTCTTGTAATTAATCTAAAAGAGAAGTCTTTTAACCTAGCTATCATAATTGCATATGCACTGACAGCACAAAATACAGAAGAAATTGAAAGGTTTTATGCTCAATGCAAATTACAGGAAATTGCAATCAATATGTGAGACATGAATGCCAAAGTAGGGAAAGGGAAATGGTGAAGTAGTTGGCAAAGACTAGGACCTTGTAATGAACATGAAGAAAAATGGTTTAATGGTACATAGTGAATGATCAGGTTGTAGCCAACACCTGATTTCAAGAACATCCAAGAGGTATATGGACATGGAGTAGCCAAGAAGAAATGAAGAACCAAACTGACTACATAACAATCAATAAGAAACTCAGGAATGCAGTTCTCCACTGCAAAACATGCCCAAGTGTCAAGTACAGGAGCAACCACCTTCCAGTAAAATGTAAACTTAGAGTGAAACTAAGGTAATTGAAGGGGGCCACGATGGCATGTAAATTGCAATATATCAGACTCCTGGCCTGAATGTGAAGGAGAAATATATAGACAGTGTCAAAAGCAGATAAAAGAATGAACTGAATGGGAATAGAAACTCAAAGTAGGACACAAATAGAAGCTTTAGTAACATCAGCAAACAAGATCATCATAAAGAAAACTAGACAAGGAAAAAAGGAATGGATGACAAATTAAATTTTTGACATGATCTTACTCTCACCTAACTGCCTATTTTGAGTGTCATGTTTTATATCATAGTTTTTTTTTTCATCTGGCTTTTTGCTGAAGAATCTGCCTCCTTGACTCATTTCAAGTCAGGCAATTTCGGATTTAGTCTCTTTGGGTGGCTTGGTACTACCATCCTTATTTTCCTACCAATAATCAACTCCACAGGAATTTCTTTTGTAGCTGATATCAGTGTGCTACGGTATGCCATTAGAGCCAGAAAAGTATCTGTTTGTTGTAAGACTCTTTTTGCAATTTTTAACTCCACTTTCTGCTGCTTTATTCACTTGAGGAAAGTGGGGACTAACAATGTTGTGCGTAAATCTGTATTTGGATGCAAAGTCACTGAATCTTGTGCTCATGAACTCATTGTCACTGATCACTTCATTTAGGATCATTTGGCAAACAATTTTTCAATTTACCAATTACATTGCCACTGATAAGTGGATCAAGACAGGCTATTTCTAAGTAACATGAAAAATAGTCAATTGCTACTAGCTGATTGCATCTATTCAGTGTGAATATATCTGTCTTTCTTCTGCCAAGGCCTCTATGTAATGGTGTCAGTTTTAATGTTTCATGGGGGTTTGATAGACAGTGCTGATTGCAAAATATGTATCTTCAGATGTGGTCATCTTTAATAACCATTCCCATCAAATGAGCAACCTCTCCGGAAACTAAATTTTCTATGTCTTGACCATTTAATACATATACCTCGAATATGTAATATTTCTTTTTATGCATCATGGAAGTCTGGAAATTTCCTTTGCACAATAACGTGCCACCTGAGCTTCTAAAAATTCCTTCTACCGGTCTTAAAGGCAGTCTGTTCTGAAGATTTTTGTACATTTTGTGGCTTATTACTGTAATGTCCGCTCCTGTGTATATTTTAAACTTCAGGTGGCTACCATGTATCTTCAAGTTAGCGAGCCATGGGTCAAGTGTTTTTATTTTTCTCTGTGAGTGAGCCTAAAAAACATACCTCCCTGTGGTTATGTTTTATTTCCCTGACATTACCTATTTTCATCCTGCAATATATAGCGAAGTGGTTGCATTTTTTTTTTTCACAAGTTTGTCATTTTGCAGGACACTGCCCCAGTCATGTAGCCGGTTACATCTGCCACATTTTTTTCAAGATATTTTTTCTTCTGATCTCAGTCTGAGAGTATTTTTTAAATTTCCCCCTTTCATTCAAACCTTGTCTGAAGGTGTCCCGATAAACCTTTGTCCTGAAGTTCGATAATGAATCTGTCCTATATTTCTTTGTTCTTGTTGGTGAAGTTACAACCATCTGCATGTTCAAATATAACAGTCTCACAAATGTTGTGACTTATTCTCAAGTGAAAAATGGCCTTTTCATGCATTCTGTTCTTGGGCATGAAATGAACTTTGAATTTTATTATTACAGATTGGAAGTCATTTTCATCTTCCCTCTTAGAAAATGTAATTTTTATTAAAACATTTTCTGCCTCTTTGCCCATACAATATATTAGGGTATTTATTTGAATTGTCCCAGTTTCCAAATACAACTTAGACACAATTCAAAACTTTTGGCACCAAGTCAGCCATGGATTAAAGAAGTCAAATGCTTGTGGGAGGATTTTTTTTTTTTTTTTTTTTAAGAACCCTAGATTGTTCTAATCACTTCTGACACTGTGTATTATCTTTTTAGTTGGGTTCATTCATTTAGGGCTTTCTCACTCACGACACAAGAATACATCTGTTGGGTTTAACTATTTACTATCAAGTCCCTAATACAACAATAAGACAAGGGTACACAACTCGTGATACTGAGCTGTAACATAGTAACAAGGATCAGTAATGACCACCATTAAGTGAGTTATAGCTACAAAAACGATGACTATTTAGTTTCTGAATAAATTTATTAATACCCTTATTAATTAAATATACATTTTTTCCTCACCAGTAGCATAACACCAGCACCTGGCGATTGTGTTGTGCATGAAACTCAGTTGTGTTGTGTACCGATGTGGGGAAAATGTATAGCTGTTATAGAGCCCTATTTTATTAGCACCAGCATTCAATGTGAGTGTTATTTTATATAAATTATTAATATTAGATACGTTTAAAAAAAAAAAAAAAAGCAATCAAAAATAAAATGAGAATTACCAATTGAGATCGTTTGTTTCTACATTTCAGTGTTTCATAAGTAAAAAAGATCAACGAATGTCAAATTGTTATTTTTTGCGAGGAGGGGGGATTTTTTTAAGAATAATTTGAAAACATAAAAATTAAAAATGAATGATTTTTTGTTGAATTTTTAGCAAAAAAATATTGGACGTAGCAAGCAAGAAAAAGTTTGTTCTTTTTTGCTTGCTACGTCCAATAATACCGAAGTTAAATAGATTTGCGTTCTGTCCTTACCCCATCATTGTCAATATCTCCCAGTGCAAGAGCATCATTTAATAAATTCTTTGAGAAATCCAACTCAATTCGTTCGACGAATGACACGGCCCTCATGATCGAATTTGGTTTTTGCTACTCCAACCGGTGTAAAGTGAAAATATTCTCTATGTACTTTAAGTATTATTTACACTCACACTTAAATATAAGTTATATTTAGTGTACTGCAAGGCCGAATAGGAAGTTATCAATGTAGCTTATTACGCCAAACTTTTCTCAGGTGACAAGTTCCTGCCATTCTAAAAAAAAAAAAAAAAAAAAAAAAAACATTCAGAAATTCTGACCCTTGACCCAAACACCGCCCGGCAGTGAAAAATATGCAACTTTAAGTAAAATTCTGCCCAATCCGTCTCAAACTGGTCCTTGCTTTTAAAAGGAGATTGTTTTAACTTTTAATTTATTTTCTTTCACTTTTTTTTTAATAACCGAAAATTGCTGAAAATCACGAAGTGTTTTAATAACGGTGTAACTCTCTCCAACCAAGTTGGGAAGTTTTTATTTAAATTTATTTTTAAAATTTCCTCTCTATTATTTTGTTTTTAGTTTATTGCTCTTAGCCAGTTTACTCTTCACTTCAAGTGTTTGTGTTTCTTTTTTTTTTTACTTTGTTGAGTTCGTATTTAAATTTAATTCGAACTACTAAATAAAACTATTGAACATTTTTTAAATGTAGGTATCTCCAACGAAAATCTTGTCGAAAAATAGTTATTATTTTAAAAAGTGAATTTTTATGAATCTTCTTACTTCATTACAAACATAAAAGCACAAATTTGCATTTTGCAAAGAAAAACTACAGTTTTAAATTCAATTATAATTAACCGTTACGACTTCAAACTCAAAATTTTCTCTTGAATTGGCGAAAATCAAAATGGCCGCTATCTGATTGACAGAAAACTCGATATTATATTAACTAAACAAGTGAAAAAAAATCTATTAAAGATATAAATAATCATAACATCAAGTGAATTTAATGGAAAATAGTTACTTTAATGCTTTAATCTATTTAACTAAACTAAAGATTTTCCTAAATTTTAAAAAAATATATTTCTATTATATGGATGTCTCTCTTTTTTTAGTCAAATTGAGATTGCTGAGGTCATATTTATCAGCTTACAATAGCAATTCGTGTTGTAAAAAACTACTTGAATGGTTCCCCTTTGTAAGAATTGATTTCATTGCTTTTTGGGGTTTTTTTTAATTAAAATGATTTATTAACTTATAAATTTCTTAAAATTGTTTATTAATTTCACCCTTTAATTGGAAAAGCTTACAAATAATCATACAGAAGAATCTTGATTTTTTGTATGTGTCAAAACGTGCCGCTTTTTGTAGATACGGTAGTTCATACACGACATAACCAGAAAATAAGAGTGATAAATTTAAATTTTTAAAGCAAAGTATATATATAAATAAAACAGTAGATTACAGACAATATTTTCCTATTTTTTTAAGATTACCGAGTACTTAAAAATTATATATAAAAGGCTCTCACTTTGTATTGTTCAGTTATTTTTTTACAGATAAAGCCCCAGTAGAAGAACATTAAATATCAATCTGCCATCAAGCTGTCAACACTTGAACAGCTTAAATAAACAGTTACTACTGTGTTGAAAAAATGCATTTCTACAATATTTTAAATTTAAAGTAAATATTTGTTTCAAATCAGATTAATTATTCTTTAAATCAGCTAATATTGCTCAAATAAAGTTTCAGAAAAGTATATTTTATTTGCAGGAAAAAATCTGCCTCATCAGTCATGTATCAAAAGATACATGATCGCCTCATGTATCATGCATGGCACATAACTGATATTTTATTTTTTAGAAGATTTTTAATAAAGAGAATTACATTGAGATGAACAATGAATAAAAAGGTGCTTATCAGTTATTTCAGAAAAAAAAATGTCCCTCCAGTTAATTTAAATTAGTTTTTGAAATACAGCACAGTATTTTGTTTATTGGAAATATTAAATTTAATCTATTAGCTTGAAATTAAAACTAAAATAAAAGATTCAAGAAAGGTTTTTCATTTTTTTAAATTCATTTTAAACCTTAGGCAACACATTTTCTGTGGAGGTACCAACATAATAGAAACTAATATTTTATTCTTTTTTATATACAGAATTTATTTTCTGTAATTCTTTTGTTGATCAAGATTTTAAAAATATAATTATGAAACACATTCTGTTACATAAAATGTTGATCACAAAGAATGTAAGAAAAACTTATATATTTACTTTTTGGGGGATCTCAAGTAATAAAATATTTTTGAAAATGATTATGATATTTAAAGAAATAAAATTTTCACCCTGAAAAATTTATTTAGGAAGCAATTTTGTATTTTTAAAATAAAAAATCTTATACATAAGTGATTTATATAAAAAAATATTTACATTGAAGCAATCAGAAAAAGTTTTATATAGAAGACAGGTACAAAATATTCCAATGGTTTGCATGCAGAAATAAGAAATCCATACTATATTAGTTTAATAAAAAAAAAAAAAAGAAATCAAACATGAAGAACTTAGCATGGTGTATTTTTGTTACAACATAATGCAAGAATGAACATAATTGAAAAGTAAAAACATTATGAATCTGTGCAAACTAATTAATAACATCCCATCAACAGCTGTGTAATTTTTTAGAAAATTATTTTAAGAATAGTTCCAGGGAATATATTTGCAATATCTTTGTATGTCTATTTTTTATAGGACATCAAGTTTTTAAGATCAAAATCCTAAAGTGGTATGCCTTTTGAAAGAATGAATACTTTTTAAAATATTGCATTAAACTGATAGAAAATTACAAAAAAAATTACTATAAAAAACAAAAAATTTAAAAAGAAAAGTTTTGAAGACAATATATCTAGAATATAAATTAAAAAATAAAAATCTTCAAAAAGTGCCATATTTGATTCTATTTTTATTTTTTTTAAAATTTCACACCAATTTTCACAATCCATATTGATTTTTCTTCTGTGTTCTAATTTTTCAAGAAAATATCTTTGAAATGTATAAACCTCAAGCTAATTCACCTTGATACACAAATGAAAATCATCAAAGTAAAAAGAGGGGGTACAATAACATAAAAAAAACATGTTCTCTAAGATTTTGAAGAGAAACTGCTATATATATATATATATATATTCTCTTTTCCAAAAGTTTTATTAAAATCCAATAATTAGATGAATTTTGGAAGTTTTAAAATCAACATGTTTTTACACCCCCACCCCAAAAAAAACAATGATATTTCTAATTCTGCTTAAAATCTAGAAATAATATTTTTTCATTCATTCAGCTTTCTATTAGCAGAAGAAAATTGTATAAAATTAAGTTTTATATATGTTTTATAACTTTTTTTCTTATTCAAATGTCCAATTTTCTGCCATGAATTTAATGCAATTATTATGTTATTAAAAAGTAACTGTTAGGATTAGTTTTGTAAGTGAACTTTTTATGAGTCAATCATTAAAATTTTAAGTGGTTTGTTAGTTGTGCTGGTGCTCTTTTAAGTGGTTTGTTAGTTGTGCTGGTGCTCTTTTAAGTGGTTTGTTAGTTGTGCTAGTTCTATCAAACTGTTTATATATTGAAAAGATTCATGCTTTACAAAGGCTGTTTGTGCTAATCTTTACATTCACAATTAATACCAAAGCTTATCACATTTCACATTAAGTGTTGATAGTTTGGATCTACAAGTGTTTATTACTGGCAATCATTTTCATTGTCAATCTTTGGTTTTTATTTTATATTTTATTTTCTGTAAAAGAAAAAATTAATAAAAATTTTGAATAGAAATATCATTCATTCTGATATCAACTGATTATGGATTTTAAACTATTTGAAAATTTCTGACTTAACAAATATAGTGAAAATTTAAAATCTAAAACTAATGTAGATTACATTAAGAATATAAAAATGTGTATGTCATGCTTTACTTGTCTGTCACTGCTTCAGTTTTAATTTACTCTAACTTTACAAATATTTTTAGCCAATCAAGAACATAAGGATCATGAATGGTAGAGGGGAGAATGCAGAATTTGACAGGATAATTCCTTTAAAAAAATTGTCCAATCAAAATAACTGAGAAATAAATGAGAAATTTGTTTTGATTTGCACCAAACAGGGAACTGGGTGATATTTTAGTTGTTGCATGTTGAAATTGATTCGTGGTCACCATTTTTGTGGGCAATACTTTTAGTTAGACTAATAGCACAATTGCAACAATATTTTTCACAAGTAAATGATGAGTATAAGCAAATGAATGAATTTCAACAAGGCAATACTTTATATTTTTGTTTTTACATCACTGAGTAAAAAGAGAGTGAAAATAAACTAGTATGCATGTGAAAGAAAGAAGACATTATAAGTTAGGAATTATGTGGGTGATATACACACATGTGTACACATGCAAAAATTCAGCCACTAAGGAGAAAGGCCTCATGGCTGTCATTGCTACAGCATGCTGAGTGGAAAAAAGAGAGATAGGAGAGTGAAGACAGGAAGTGTCCCATTTTTATAGGTGCTGTTAAGCACCTATAATGTCTTCTTGGCAAAGCTATGTTAGGATAACTCACATGATAATCTTCAATGTACCATCTGACATTTTATTCTTAATATTTTCTATTCATATACGTGGATCTTATTTACCATCAAATATGGTAGCCCAGAAGTGATTTGAACTTCTTTCTATGTACCGTGTCCTTTCAAGACATAGGCAACCATGGCTCTTCACCTACCTCTATCCCTTTCAGCTTTCAAAAAGTTCCCTCCCTCTGCCACCTCCCTCAGACCACATTGTGTCATCCACTTGCTTAAGGCCACCAGGTATGTCATGTGTTGTTTTCTTTTGTCTCTCTTTCCCTCTATTTGACCTGTGAATATCAGATTCTCCAAGCCCTCCTTCCTCATTATGTGTCACAGGAACTTCAGCTGCCTCTTCCTGATGTTAAGTATAAGCCTCCTCCTTGCCTAATATTCTAAAATACATTGTATATGTTTTGTAAACAAAATCAGCACTGCCTGTAAGAATTTGTGATATTTAGGTCTGGGTCAATCTGTC